TCTTAAAGGGGACGCACGATCGTAAATGGCTGTGTTTACATTGGATTAACAACTTGAATACTGCATAGTATATTAACGTTACCTAATATTTTAAAATAGCAGACGTGGCTATGTTTAGAACTGATATTAGCTTACTAACTGTAAGCTCTACATAATCTAGTATTTATTTACTCATTTATTAAATCTCAAGTAGCTTAGAACGGAGTCCATTCTAAACAGATCCTCTCGCAATTTAATAAAGAACTAGAATTGTGTGTATACAGCTTACATGTATTTGTTATTGCCATTGGCATAACTTGCTTGGCATAACTAGAAACATGTATATTCATGATATTATTATTATAAGATTTTATTCATTGACATTACATTTTCCCAAGACTTTTTGAGGGGTAACATAAGAAATATCTTGATTTTTAATTGTTTTTGGCATCCTTTAAATGCGTGTTCTGTCTTCTTTTATTCACTTTAAGTCATTGGAGGTTTGCTGAGGTCCCCTGGTTATGGGCCCCGGCCCCTTAGTTAATAATCAATTATTTGTTTATTTATAATAGTAAATTGCCATGTTTAGAATGGACTGAATAACAGTTTATTTATTTATTTATTAAATAGTAAATGGTTATTTTTAGAATAGACGGAATGACACCTTAGTAAACTATACACGGTTTATTTATTTAATAATTAGTAAGTGGTTATGTTTACAACAGATGGAATGACACCTTCGTTAGCTATATGCACGGTTTATTTATTTAATGAATAGTAAAGTGGGCGTGTTCTCAAGCCAGCTATCGGCGCGCGCTGTAGTCTTTGAAGACAGGAAAGCGTTCAGTGCGTAGAAGTGAACGATTCAAAGATTCAAAGATTCAAACTCTGAGTCGTTTAGAAACGAAGCGCCTCACATTGCTGCCTCCTAGTAGACTTGAAGTCGTCAGGTGTTGCTGTTACTATGTCGACACTAAAGAAAGTTATATGGCCCCAAATCATTCTCTTCGGCGACTCAATAACACAGGTAACAATTTGGGGACACAGGGCACTTAGGGTTTTGTTCTTTACTCTGACACGCCGTGTTTTTGTTTCAGTTTGCGTTTCAAGCGAACGGATGGGGATCCGAGATCTCTCATAAACTCGCCAGGTACAGATTTGATGACAGCACGGATGTATTATTGCGTTCATACCGCTGTGGCGGATGATTTGATCATTCCTTTCATTTATTAGAAAATGCGACGTGGTAAACAGAGGCTTGTCGGGTTACAACACAAGGTGGGCTAAGATTGTGCTTCCTCGCATCGTGCCCATTTCTGATGCTCCTCTTGCGGCTGTGACCGTCTTCTTCGGCGCTAATGATTGTGCATTGGAAGGTAAGAACATTTCACGTGTCATTTCAAGATCTAAACATCAGCGGCAGCGATACTAGCCTGTCTATGAGACACTTACAAACGTTTCTTTCCAGACAAGAACCCCGCGCAGCACGTGCCTCTCCAGGAGTTCACGGACAATTTAAAAGATATTGTCAAATATCTGCTGTCTGTAGGAGTGTCCAATGACAAGATCATCTTCATCACACCACCACCACTTCAAGAAGCCGCCTGGGAGAAAGAGTGCTTGCTAAAAGGTGACACGGTACCTCCTCTCCTGAATTTAGAAGTAGTGTAGTGTTAGAAAATAGTATGCAATGTTGTACACGGTAGTATTCTATACTGCCATCATATGACCTCTTGACATAATTAAAATAATAAAGTTTATTTTGAATTTTATGTTGAACAGTATAGATCAAAGATGGTAATCATGCTGGATTCTTCATTTGAGAGCCTTGCATTGAGGGATACAGTACTGCATTTTCATTGGAACTTCATTGTTGAGAGAGAGAGAGAGAACACAGGCATACACAGATAAGTTGCATTGTTGTGTAAGACACATTTTAATTATTACATGAAGAAATTATGTAAAATACCAGTAAATAAAACGAAACATTAACAAACATTAGTTACACTATAAACAACAAATCTTTTAAAGGAATGGAAAAGTATACTATATAAAACAATTCTTTATAAACGACATCTGCTGTTAATACATTTTTCTCAAATCTTGGATTAAAATCGACTTGCAAATTATAACCAGATCACTTCATTAAGCGTGCAACTTGACAGTGTCATGTGACAGCAGTGTAGCAAACTATATGAAACATGTATTGCTGCATATTGCATGCGGTTTCACATACTATTTTTAAAAATGACTTGGCAGTATATAGTGTGTGGAGCTAGCAGAACTTAAGTATTTAGTTACAACGATAGCCTCAGTCTCTCTATCCCTCTCTCTCTCACACACACACACACACACACACACATAATGAATATGGTTTTCGGTTTGTTTAAATGCTCTTTTTTTTTTTATCAGGTTCAGCTTTGAATCGGCTGAACTCTGTGGCTGGTCAGTATGCGCAGGCCTGCGTTCAGGCTGCTGGACAGTCTGGTGTGGATGTTCTGGATCTCTGGACGCTCATGCAAAAAGACGGACAGGTAACACGCATGCTGGCAAAACCATAAATATAGTGAATTAACATATAAAAATCAGAACTAGAATACAAACAAATAGTTTTTCCCCTCAGGATTTCTCAGTGTATCTTTCGGACGGACTTCATCTCTCTGATAAAGGCAATCAGTTTGTGGCAGAGCATTTATGGACACTTCTTGAGAGGCGAGTGACTGATTTGCCCTTCATTCTGCCTTACTGGGGGGATGTGGACCCAAAATGCCCTGAGAGCAGCCTACTGTGTGATTAATACACGGGTCAAATGATGCACAGCGTGCAAAACACCATTCAGTTCCTGTGGTTTATATTTGGACATTTTTGGATATGCTTATCGTCATAAATTGTGTAAGGACCTTCCACCAGTCACGACTTGACTTGAAAACAGGAGGTGTTTTGAGTTACTCAAGTTAAAGCACAGATGTCACAGATAATGTTTAATGTTCTGGCAAAAATATATTTAGATTTCTGAACAATTAATGTTTTGGTGAGGCCAATTGATTTATTGAGCTTCTTATACGCACTAAGCTTTTTAGTAGGGACAATAATGGCTTTCATTTTTAGATCTTCTGGCAATATCAAATGTATTTTCTTTCAGGGTCATAAAATAATCAAACACTTCAGTGCAGAGTAGTGCTGTCAAACGATTAATCGCATCCAAAAGAAAAGTGTTTCTTTACATAATGTGTGTGTACTGTGTATATTTATTATGTATATATAAATACAAATACATGCATGTATATATTTAAGAAAAATGTTGTTTATATATTAAATAGATTTATATAAAATATAAGAATATAAATGTATATGCATGTAAATATTTTCAAGATATATTCTGTATGTGTGTATTTATATATACATAATAAATATACACAGTACACACACACACATATATTATGCAAACAAAAACTTTTATTTTGGATGCGATTAATCGTTTGACAGCACTAGTGTAGAGACCGTTTATTCATGTGGCTTCAAACTCCAAGAATACATGTAAAATAAATGTGACATAACCAAACATCAAAAACACACACACTGAATGATACAGCTGTCTACATCCAAGTGAGATGTTTTAATTACTTCTGATTTGATATACAGGAAAGTAAGAAACAATACAAAATATATATTTAGTCATTTGAGTTACGGCACGTTAAAACTTTACAAGATCTTAAAATTTGACTGTAATAGTTAAAGTCAGATATTTCACAGTGGGGGAATACTATATCGATTCATTTTGGTCATCTATCTATACAACCGTTTTAGTGGCAAAAAGAGAAAATCTATGAAATATGCACATCCCTCGGCTCTGTAATCAGTGTTTCACATATTCATACTGCTATATTAAAATGACATGAGATGCTATAGTATATAGTAGTACAAATTAAACTGAACAAACCTTGATGCAAAAAATGATGAGCAATTTCTATCTTTAAGCCTTAAGGCTTATGAGGTCAAATAAAACTCATTATAAATTGCATCTCATCTTACAGTTTCCAAACACATATGACATTTAATTCATAAACATATGGCATAGGACATGCATTGCTTGGATCTTCTCAGCAAGTCGACCAGTGTAACATTAAAAGTATAGTCATGCATTAGTCCTGATGCTCATGTTCTTAATGAGGTATACATGAATAAAAATACAAAAATTTGCACTACTGGATGTATTAAAATAATATTAAATACAAGTTAAAGGGATAGTTTACCAAATCTCACCCACTTGTCGTTCCAAACCCACAAGACTTTTTCGAAACTTGCATTCTCTCCAATCAAAAATCCATTCTCCCAAAACTTTCATACTGCAAAAAGATCATAAAGAAATTGTAATCATCACAGATGTAATGCTAGATTTGATTCTCATCTATACATTGACCAACACACAAACTATGAATAGCTCATCATTTATGGTAAATGGAAAGCAAATATAAAGTGATTGTATTTCTTCAGAAGACCTGGATTGAACTGCTTGACTCGTATAGATTTACAATGTCTTTATGAACATTTTAAAGTGCAAAAGTTTGGGAAGAATTCATTTTTAATGACGGACAGAAATCTCTCAGGTTTTATTAAAAATATCTTCATTTGTGATTTTTGGGTTTGGAAGGGCGAGTTGAGGGCGAGTAAATGATAGCATCATTTTCATATTAAGGTGAACTGTCCCTTTAAGATCTAAGGACAGCACCTGTGATTGTCAATTACCACAAAACATTATTTTGATTTGTACTTCGGTTTATAAAAACAACACAAAATGCCTAAACAGTAACAACAGACATATAGGGCAAATGTAAAATGATTAAAGGAACGGTTCTCGCTAAAATGAAACTTCTGTCATCATTTACACCAGTGGTTCCCAACCCTGGTCCTGGAGGCACCCCAACACTGCATGTTTTGCATGTCTCCTTAATCAAACACACCTGATTCAGGTCATCAGCTCATTAGTAGAGACTCCAAGACCTGAAATTGGTGTCATAGAAAGGAGACATGCAAAATGTGCAGTGCTGGGGTGCCTCCAGGACCAGGGTTGGGAACTACTGATTTACACAACCATGTGTTTTTCAAACCTGTATTACTTACTTTCCCCAGTGGAACATAAAAAGAAGATATTATGAACAATGTTTTTGTTTGTTTCTGTCCATACAATAAATGTCACTGGGGTCCAGAAGAATATTTATCCCCATTGACTTCCAAAAAAAAGTAAAAAGTAAAAATTTTTGGATAAACTATCAATTTAAACTCGTAGACTTTTGTCTTTCTGCTGGCTTCTGAAACTGCCGAGTCATATTTCACAGCCAAAGATGCTGTCCAAAGCTGTATTGAATTTATTCCTTTAATTTTTGAATAGACCAAATGCAAAGTAAATTCTCTTGGCAGTTTCTGACATGCTTGTAAGTAGCACTCTATTTTTAACAACTACAATTGTGCATTAAGGAATGCTACAAAATTTCTAAGAACCAACCGAAATGTGTCAGCAGTTTACACATCACATCCACTTTTAAATGCACGAACAAAATGAAGCCTGATTGCACCCTGATCCTCACAGCTCAAGTCATTTTTGACTTATGCCAGTGTCTTCAGCACTCCGTCTCCTTACTGTCAATGCGCGCCTGTCTCGTCAGCCGTCTCTTGTCCCCGAGGGATGGCATTGCCTGTCCGGTGAGGTCCTCGAAGGACCTGGCAGCTGTGCCGCTTTGACGGAAGCCGTCCTCCTCTTCCAGGTGAGAGGAGTCTCCGCTGGGGTCCTCCTCGATTGTGGCCATTCGCAGCGGATCCGCTTTGGGTGCGGCGGAGAGGTTGGCAGGGTCTGGGCCGGCAAGCGTCTCCTGTGCCGGTGAGACGCCGGGGCCCGTGGGGCCCAGTGAGGGCTGAGGTCGCGGATGAGAGGCCTTCACAATGTGGATGGGCGCCGATTCCAGACCGCTCATCATCTCTGCACTCTAAGGACAGAATTTGTGATGGAATAAGTAAGGGAGACTTATCGTAGTATTCACAACATCTTGCATAAATAGGGATGGGCATGAGTACTCGCAAGTGACAGCAATGACTGATTATCAAAGTACTGTGTATCATAGATTTTTATTTTCTTCCTGTCAAAAACATTTAGACCAGTGGTTCTCAAAGATATTTCTTTTGGTATTACTGCTGAAATTGACAACGCTGCTTGATTTTTCTTAAGAGAAACCAGGAGTGTTGATACATGAACATTCATTTTGTGATTTTAAAATATATTTTTGAAATGTATATTTTTCAATAAATATAATTAATGGGAAAAATTAATTATTTCAGTTTACACTTCTTTTGTTTGTAGCAATTTAATTAAGTATTTCTAAAAAAAAATATTATTTAGTAATTTTAAGTTGTCGCAATGACTGATTATCAAAGTACTGTGTATCATAGATTTTTATTTTCTTCCTGTCAAAAACATTTAGACCAGTGGTTCTCAAAGATATTTCTTTTGGTATTACTGCTGAAATTGACAACGCTGCTTGATTTTTCTTAAGAGAAACCAGGAGTGTTGATACATGAACATTCATTTTGTGATTTTAAAAGATATTTTTGAAATGTATATTTTTCAATAAATATAATTAATGGGAAAAATTAATTATTTCAGTTTACACTTCTTTTGTTTGTAGCAATTTAATTAAGTATTTCTAAAAAAAAAATATTATTTAGTAATTTTAAGTTGTCCCGTGGCCCCCTTGGATGTTTGCTGATGGTTAAGAACTACTGATTTAAACGGAACACAATGAAACAAAAAAGAAAGGGTTCCGAGAACAAAATTGAACAAAAAAAGTGGTTTTAAACTATTTTTAACATGGCATCTTAAAACTGTGACTGAATTAACAGAAAAATGCGATACAAAGACATCTGAATGATGTTTATGTACGTAAACCAACTACTGATGGATGAAAACTTTAACAAATTTAGAATTTTTTGCATTTAAAAATAAAATTATTTTGTTGCACAACACATTGCATGTTTGTCTTTGGTTTTGGTATATTTATTTTGTTTTTCTATGGTCTTCTGTTATGTTGTCTACTTTAAATAAATAAAAAATATTATTATTATTATATATATTTTTATAATAGCACTTTTACTGAAACTTGGACAACTTAGATTTATTTTTTTAATTCAGCTTTTTTTGCATTATTTAAAAATAAAATAATTTTTATAATAGCACTTTTACTGAAAATTCTTCACAAATGAAACATATATATATATATATATATAAATATATATTTTTCTATATAAATATAGAAAAATAAACAATATAAATATATTTTTAAAAACTTTTGTACCATCTCTAGAATCTCATTTTGATAAATTTTACACAATTTTTAATTCACAATTATAGTTATACAGTATAGATAAAACTAGAACAAATCACGAATAAATCAATTACAATACACAAAAATAATAATTCATACATATATATATATATAAAGAAACGTAAATGTATACATAATTTTAATTACAGAGTAGCACAATTATAGTATTCTTATATTATGATTCATCTGTCAAGTACAACTAGACAAACTGATGCCCATCCCTATGCAAAACATAAACAGCATGCTACACTTGAGTTAAAAGCAGAAAAATATGCATCTGCCATATCAGTAACAGTCCATTCACATCTCTTGAACCAAATCAAATGAAGAGACAGGCACCCGTAGCGTATGCAGTATCAAGAGATTTTCAAAGCCATGCTTTTAAAACGCTCCAGTACTGAACTGCATCCAAAAACACGTTTGAACCAGAAACCTGCAACACATCCTCATGGACACTGAATGCACGAGACATACAGGACAAGCTGAACTAAACTCAGTCAGTCCATCTGACACGTCACAACCAGCGCGCTCTGACTCATCACACTCAGGGTACATCGGTGAGGGGCCATATGACGCTCACTCACCTGAGTTGAGAGCTCTACTACACACCTCCACCACCATCTGCTGCAGTTCCACAAGGGTCAGAGCAAACAAGCCACAGATCATACATGTGCAGCCACGCTCGCCCATACTAGCCCTGATAAAATACGCCATGCTAACTGGATGAGCAAGTTATTATGTTATTTTGGGGTGCTGGATGACTTTAATGCAGGTTTAGTTTGTTAGTAATCTGATCTCCGCTGCGAGAGAAAGGAGCCATGGTGGAGTTGTAGTTGTAGTTTTGTGACAGAAGGACTTACACTTGGGTACATCATGGTTTTGGAGTTTTCCTCATATTGCTGATCCAGTTTCTTGTCCTATTAATGAGCAAAGAGAAACGATCACTGTACTGTCTTGACTTTAAAGGGATCATTTAGCCAAAAATGACAATTCTGTCATCATTTACACCCATAATTTCTTCTGTGGAAGTATTATCAGAAACAGAAGTTTCTGAATATGACCGCAATACAAATGAGAATATGGCAAAATACCATCAAATTTCAGCTTGTTCCTCACAGTGTTATTGCTGAATTGAATTTAACTGAAATTTGTTTATAAACTGTACAAAATAACAAGTATCCCATACACTGTAAAAACTGTCGAGGATTAAAAAAAACACAAAGCCATTGGCTTATTTCTATTGCAGTCCTAACTAAAATGTATTTTTGTTGATTGAAATAGAGCTGAAAAAAATCAGACAAAAATATCAGATGAAAACTTAAATGAAATTTGAAATGAATACATTTTAAAATGACTAAAACAGAAATAAAAATAAAAACTAAATAGACACAAACAAAAAAAACAACAAAAAATGACAAAATGTAACATAACAAAATTATAATAACTGAAACTAGTTTATATCAAAATTACCAAAACTTACAATGAAATGAAAACAAAGTATAAAAAAAGCAAATTTTAAATATTAATAAATACTATAATAGTATATACACATATTGCTAACATACTGTTTAAAAATATAAATATCTTTAAAAAAAAGTATATATAAGTATAAATAAGTATATTCAAATGACAAACTCAAATTTAATAATCTAAAATTAAAAGCTAATTCAACCCTAACCTATATTAATTAATACTATAATAGTGTATAAATAATTCTAACATACTAATTCCTCACACAAAGTTATCGCTTGGCTTTAGAAGACATGAAATATTGAGTGTTTCGTGGACCACTTTTATAATACTTTTAGGGACTGTCAAAATTCAAACCAGTTGCACAGAAGAGAGTCAAAGAGGTTTGGAAGTACACGAGTGTAAGTAAATGATGACAGGGTGGACTATCCCTTTAAGAAAAATCAATTCAGAAAAACCTATTGACTGTGAAATAAGTCTCACCACACAGTGCACCAGTATGCTTAGGGGAATCCAGAAGACGAGAGAGAAGACCACCACTGATCCAACTATGTTGTCAGCCAAGAACTTCCCTGCACATTGACAGAAAAGAGTCACTCACCACTGGCATTTACAAAACATACAGAAAAAGTCCTAGCTAAATTCACCGTTATCATCTCTTACCAAATGTGTTGATGTCCAGTTTGTCAATGAAGTCCCATAAACGTTCGATGACATCTTGGACGTGCTTCATGCATTTACCCTGGAATGAACACCACCACAGCAATCATCACGCTAGTGAATAGAAAACATTATTCAGTCTGATAAATGGTCAAAACATAGACGAGCAGTGTACTCACTGCTCCGTCACAGAAGCCAACGGTACAGGGTTTGCCCTTGCGCAGGTAAAGATATGACCCATCACTGTCAAAGGGAGTGCACAGCCCGCTCCTGCTTCTACAGCACACTTTACACGAGTTCTCAGTCTCTGAAAAACATCACAGCAAATGGACAGACTCAGCACTTCTGCATTCATAATTACAGGTAAAACGTTGAACACTTATTAGTATGCGTGTTTTGGTACTAGTTTCAGTGTACATCAACCCTCTCAATTAATGAGCCAATATAACAGAATTTTGAAATGGTATGCATCCCAATATCTGCAGTTTCGGTTTACATATATCTGGAGTCAATGTTGTGTAAAATAGCCTAGATAATCCCGTAATTTCTTCTTCTTTTTGATTCATCTTACCTATTGTCATTATATACAGTACAGATGCCTGGGGATAGTTGTCACAAAGGCTGTATTTACACTATCAAAAGGTTGGGGTCAGTAAAATTTTTATTGATTTATTTTAAGAAATTAATACTGATATTGACGCATTAAACTGATCAAAACTGACAGTAAAGACATTTACATTTTTACAAAAGATTTCTATTAAAAATAAATGCTGTTCTTTTGAAGCGTCTATTCATCAGAGTCCTGAACAATGATAATAACAAGAAATAAAAAATATTTCTTGAGCACCAAACCAGTACATTAGAATGATTTCTGAAGGATCATGTGACACTGAAAACATTTGAATCACAAGAATAAATTACATTTTAAATCACAAGAAAACTGACAGTAAAGACATTTACATTTTTACAAAAGATTTCTATTAAAAATAAATGCTGTTCTTTTGAAGCGTCTATTCATCAGAGTCCTGAACAATGATAATAACAAGAAATAAAAAATATTTCTTGAGCACCAAACCAGTACATTAGAATGAATTCTGAAGGATCATGTGACACTGAAAACTGGAGTAATGATGCTGAAAACTCTGATTTGAATCACAAGAATAAATTACATTTTAAATATATATTCAAATAGAAAACTATTTCAAATTGTAATTTTTCACTGTATGACTGCTTTTAATTTTGAAACTAAACTTAAAAAAAAAAAAAGTATTTTATATATATATATATATATATATATATAAAATTAAATATTTGATAAACAAAACATAATTAATAAAATATCTATGATATGCCCTGCATTTTTTTCCCCAAGGCAATAATGGTGTAAATGTTTAAAAGCTTTATTGTAGTCAAGATATCAAAGTCTGTGTCTCTATAGAAGTCTGCCATATGTAGAAACAGTGTTATACTGTCTATCACTGCTCACTGGGTATGAACACTGGTCATCCAATCAGATCTCTTGGTTGGGCAGTAGTGAACACAGAAAGGAGGGTCTGTTGGGACATTTACCATTGCAGGCACAGGACTCAAGATCATGCAGGGCCTCACAGAAAGGAATGCACTCGCCCTTCTGACATCGGCCCTTGTCCACACACTCTGTATTATTATCCAGGTTACCAGGGGTGGGGCACTCACTGCTGTTGCCTAGGGATAACACAAGGGTAAAAAGTTCAATATAATTGATCCAGACCACTGCAACATTGACATTGGAGAGTTCTGGGCTCACCTGTGCACCTTGACATGCCCTTGCAGGTGGCGGTGATGGTCTCCTGACAGATCTTATCTATACTTTCAAACCTAATAAAATATCTATGATATGCCCTGCATTTTTTTCCCCAAGGCAATAATGGTGTAAATGTTTAAAAGCTTTATTGTAGTCAAGATATCAAAGTCTGTGTCTCTATAGAAGTCTGCCATATGTAGAAACAGTGTTATACTGTCTATCACTGCTCACTGGGTATGAACACTGGTCATCCAATCAGATCTCTTGGTTGGGCAGTAGTGAACACAGAAAGGAGGGTCTGTTGGGACATTTACCATTGCAGGCACAGGACTCAAGATCATGCAGGGCCTCACAGAAAGGAATGCACTCGCCCTTCTGACATCGGCCCTTGTCCACACACTCTGTATTATTATCCAGGTTACCAGGGGTGGGGCACTCACTGCTGTTGCCTAGGGATACACAAGGGTAAAAAGTTCAATATAATTGATCCAGACCACTGCAACATTGACATTGGAGAGTTCTGGGCTCACCTGTGCACCTTGACATGCCCTTGCAGGTGGCGGTGATGGTCTCCTGACAGATCTTATCTACACTTTCAAACCTACAGTTCTTGCAGCAGGGGCTGTTCCTGTCACTGAGGGTCACAGACAACAATATCAGCCACAAATACTGACAGAACAATGCCCTTAAGAGAACCACACTTCTTAATAGGGCTGTGCGATTAATCGAAATCGAATTCGAAATTGCGATATGAGACGATTGCGATTTGCTAATCGCAAAGCCTGCGATGTGGATGCGATATTACTCTGTTCCAGAGCATATGCATGACTGCCAGTCTTGAGTTTATTTAATTCTTACAAATAAGTTCTTGTTAAAAACTAACCAAAATTTAAAATATTTTGCTTATAATTTCTGCACAGGAGAGATTTGGTGTTGTTTCCAAACAAAAGGAAATATATCGGTATCGGTCAAAATAATGTGAAAAATATCTGCATATCGGATATCGGCTAAAATCCAATATCGTGCATCCCTACATTACTTTCCATAAAAAGTAACTAAGTAACGTAATTAGTTACTTTTTTAGAGAGTAACACAATATTGTAATGTATTACTTTTAAAAGTAACTTTCCCCAACACTGGTAAACATACATAAAATCCTTAATACATGATACATTTACTATACTTGAGAAGGAACACAGCATAAGACTTGTTTTAATTGATTGTGTTGTCATATAGTGCACGTCTTACTGTTTTATTGTTTATAACTTTTTTGTTTAAAAAAATGTCAAAGATACTTTCTCTGAAAACTAGTCATAACATCTTATGAAGCACTGCTTCACCAGTTAATTTATTTAAAGGGGACCTATTATGCAAAATTAACTTTTACATGGTGTTTGAACATAAATGTGTGTTGTACACAACCAACCTATAATGATAAAAATCCACCCAATTCTTCTTTTTAAAAATCCCCTTAAATCATAAGCAGTGTCGCAGAACAAGCCGTTTGCAGAATCTGTACAATGTAACGTCACTTTGTACAGGCCCCACCCACAACTGTTGACGGACACTGACGTATTAGCATAGATCCCACCCTATGCAATCCGCCAAGTTTATTTTAAAGCTACAGAAGTTATTCAGTCGAGCAGTGAGTGATTTTCTGTTTTTATTTGGTTGTTTGGGGCATTACCAGTATAGACAGAAGTATAGGTACTGTATATTACGCTGCTGTCACTTAATACACAGATCTGTTCACAGACATACAGTAGGTGACTGTATTTATGCTAATTACGTGTGTTTTTGACATATCCTTGTGTGTATTTTACAGTTTAAGTGCAATAGGACATGAAAGCACTTGAAAGCACATACCGTGTGCAGCAGCTTTCTTTGCGCGTGCTTCGGATGTGTCTGCTCAGAAAACAGTATATCAGAAGTTTAAATTTATATGGCTTTTTCAGTGCAGTAGACATGATGATCATAACTAAGTAGATGTTTTGTTTTGGCAGAGTATCTGAGGCATGAGCTGTATTCTGGAAAAGGGGGCAGGGAACATCAGCTCATTTGCATTTAAAGATACATGCATGAAAACCTGCATGGAACTCCCAATTCAAATTCCATTTGTGAAATTTCACAAAGCAATGGTGACCGCACCAATATAACTAAATCATAGTCATGCAGTTATAGAAATTTAATCAACATCCTGAAATGTCAGTCAAACAATCACAACAAAGGATTGTGGTACTGTATACTAGGGCTGTGCGATTAATCGAAATCGAATTCGAAATTGCGATATGAGACGATTGCGATTTGCTAATCGCAAAGCCTGCGATGTGGATGCGATATTACTCTGTTCCAGAGCATATGCATGACTGCCAGTCTTGAGTTGCAGTGTTACTTGCCCTGGGCAAGAGCGAGCGCACCTCTGTTCTCCCCAATCAGCACTGCTCTAGCCAACTGCGTAAACACCCACCATTAAAAGAATAATAATAATAAAAACAGAAAGCGGGACGGGAGAGAGACAGAGTGTGATTATGGCACCTACTGGGTCAGATCGATAGTTAGACAAATTAAAACTAAAGAAAAACGTATGCAACTTAAGCTTCGAAATGACAGACAACGAACAAAAAAGGTACTTTGCAAGAGCTGCGTCACAGCGCATATCAAAAGCTCCCTTATCGGTTCTGTTTTCAGTACTGGAGAATAAAAGATACATTCTTAGATGTTTTTTGTTAGTACGTGAACGTTATCTTGCACATTTGATTGTTTCCCAATTCAGAAGAGCGCACACGCAGCCTGTGTCTGTGAATGCTTCTCATACTCGCTCCTCTCTGCCCCACGCGGCGCGAATCCCGTGTCACGGACGAGCCGTTCATGCTTGCCCCACTCACGCAGCCTGCCTCGTAATGCTCGTTTATACTCGCAACCGGCTCCGCACGTCTCCACAAGCGCATCTGGCAGTATGGATGAGGCTTGACGCACGCACACTCGCAACCTATGTCGACTCGCGCCTGGCTCAGCGTTTAAAACGAATGTAAATTCAGTCTAACTGCTTGCTAATTTCACTTAGATGAAATGAAACATTCAGCACATTTTCCACTTGTTCTTAAAATCCCTATATAACATATGTAATACTTTAATAATTGACTTAAGAAATACAGTTCTTTATTTATAAAAAAAATAAACAGATATTTTGTGAAATTCAGTAATTAAGTTAATTCTGTAAAAGTAGTTATACCATTATAATCTTGCCTGCTGAAAAACAAACAAACAATAGAACCCCTCCCAAACCACAATAAAAAATGTAATGGACTTCAGGGTTATAATGGGAATTGTATTGGTTTTAATGTAAACTATAATGGTGTCTATTTGATGGATTCTATTGGGAGGATGTAATCTGGCAGATGGCAACCAATAGAACAACAGTAATTCCTATTGGAATAATGCCCAAAACAAAAAGGAATTTTGTAATGGTTTAATGGAAACTATAAGAATTTCTGTGATGGTTTCTATTGTTTTTTTCAGCAGGGTAATGATACCCATACTGTGCTGCACATTATTGGCAATATTGAGCTGAAGCTTGACTTTGCAAATTTAAAATCGCAAATCAAATCGCAATTTGACATTTTCCCCCAAATCGCACAGCCCTACTTCTTAATAAAACTTTTTTTAAAACTATATTCTGACTTTTGACTTCTAAACCTTTTAAGACAGTCGATTGAATATGCTTCTGTTGAAGCCATCAGCCAAACTTAATTTTAAAAAAGTACTTATTATCCACTTTCAATTCCCATGAATATATATAAAATGTAATCTATTCCTGTGATGCAAAGCAGAATTTTCAGCATCATTACTACAGTTTTCAGCGTCAAATGATCCCTCAGAAATAATTCTAATATGCTGCTTTTCTGCTTAAGAAACATTTGGTATCATCAATGTTGAACACAATAGTGCTGCTTGATGTTTTTGTAGAAACCATGATAAATTTTTTGTTCAGGATTTATTTGAAAAATAAATATTTTGCAACATTATAAATGTCTTTACTGTCATTTATCTTTTTATCAGTTAAATGCATCTTTGCTGAATAAAAGTATTAATTTCTTAAATTCACTGAATGGTAGTGTATACAATTTTTTTATTATATTATATTATTATTCAATTATTCTATTTTTTTATTATTATTTGTTAACGCCACGTATTGTACATGAAATAACTTAAATAAAAGACATTACAGGTTTTTCCTCAATTTTCATTTTTATGTAATTCATTTAATATTAATTATTTAATTTATTAATATTCTAAAATCATTTGTTAATATAGGGATTCATTTCTGAACTGGTCGGTTCGGTTCATGATTATTTTTTTGTTAAATCCCTATACAATGAATAGAAAAAATACTTTGAGAAACAAGACCACTGAAATAGTGTGTGGTCACTATTGTGATCTATTATCTGGTCGATGCTGATAATCTTCAATGCTGATATATTGGTCTATCACTGTTAGCTTCTTTACCTGCATTGTGCCTGCTTCCTGAATTTGCACTTAGCTGTGCAGCAGGGGTCATCGTTGAGATGAAGGAGTCCAGGGTCACAGTCTTCATCCTCCTCCACACGGGAGTTCCCACACAGCTTACTGCTCCTCTCCTTGAAGCACTGATGGGCTTTGACCTTTAACGCCCTACTGACAGAGAACTTGCTACAGTTGGAGAAGCGCTGAGGGAAAAAATAAAACCGGTGAGTAAAGTAACTACATGTAAGGGGGAAAAATCAGTACAGGATGGACAATACCTTGTTGTTGACGTGATCTCCGCTGACCGCAATAGGGTACATGACATATTTACCACCCTTGTCATCGCTGGGGGCACAGGCAGGTATGTTGTCTGGATCGTGTTCTGCTCCAAAGTTGTGCCCGAGCTCATGAGTTGTTACAAGATCTGCTTCCTGGAAAGATAAAACATCAGTTTTATCATGCTGCCTGCTAGTATATAAGATGCAAGTGGTACTTAAAGCAAACCTTAGTCAGAATAGTTTTCCCATAATTCATGGTGCTTGTCAAGCCTGTGTTTAGGTAGCTGGGTTTCCTGACGGTTTGTGATGGATAGTAGGCTGGAAGACAAAATGAATGTGCAAGGTCAAGCACTTTTGAAGAGTGGAATTCCACTGATCACAGTTGAAGAGATCCTTACGTTTAGGGCAGAGTCCTCCCAATCCCTGTTTGGAAGGGGCCACGTATGCCAGACCCAGAGTGCCATCATCGAAGTCCTGATAGGTGAAGAGATGGGCAAGGCAAACTGTAGAGGCGTTGTCTGCGATGTCATAACTGAATTGCTAAAGAGAAGCGAGATAAAGTTGAGAAAGTGAGGGTCTGCAAACTCATGATTCAGGGCTCCTGACAAAATTATGACTCATAAAATTGGCTCTTAAAAAATGAAACATTTAGAAGCTAAATTACAGAACTGCTCAAAAGTTTATTTGGAAGCACCTTGGTTTATAATGTGCATAGCTTCTTTGCATTTCAGTATACATTTTTTGTAAGAATACTTCTGTGTTCGTAAATTGTTATGTCATTCAAAAATATTTCACTTACAGTCAATTCGACCAATATTTGTATTCAATATTTTTTACCAATATCAATATTAAATAATAATTCATTTAAATAAAAATATGTATCTTTACACATAGGTTGTCACATGAACATACTTTTAGTAAATATACTGATATACGGTTCACAACCCTAAAATACATCACAGTAACGAATCCTGGTTCATTCAGAATCAAAAGTGACTTGCAGTTCAGTGAGGGAGTCTGTTGTGAAGGGATTCATTGACTGAGTGAATCTGATTCAAATCACTAACTTGCAATTAAAGGGATAGTTCACCCAAAAATGAAAATTTGATGTTTATCTGCTTACCCCCAGGGCATCCAAGATGTAGGTGACTTTGTTTCTTCAGTAGAACACAAATTATGATTTTTAACTCCAACTGTTGCAGTCTATCAGTCGTATAATGCATGGCAATGGTAACAAAATCTGAGAGTAAAAAAAAACATGCACAGACAAATTCAAATTAAACCCTGCGGCTCGTGACGACACATTGATGTCCTAAGACACGAAACGATTGGTTTGTGCGAGAAACCGAACAGTATTTATATAATTTTTTACCTCTAATACACCACTATGTCCAACTGCCTTGGGCGCGTGCACGGCATCTGGTGCTACTCTGGCGTAGTTTACGCAAGTGCCGGAAGTGATCTCTCGCGCGTATACGTCACTCATTTTTTACACAGTGCACAAACATTGTAGGTACGACGGCTAATCAAAATGATACTTACTTGCGCTTATCCGGATTGTTCAAACCGACTTAAAACTAAAAGATTATGTTCTCTTGCGCGAACTCATTCGGAAGTGGTGACTTTCCATGTATTCCCAACTTCTGAGCCTGCTCGCCTGAAGTTATGGTTGATTGCTCTTCGGCTGGATATCAACACACCCATTAATGTAAACTACGCCAGAGCACGTACACACCTCACAAACCGGATGCCATGCGCGCGCTCAAGGCAGTTGGACATAGTGGTGTATTAGAGGTAAAAAATGATATAAATACTGTTATAAATACTGTTCGGTATCTGGCACAAACCAATCGTTTCGTGTCTTAGGACATCAATGTGTCGTCACGAGCCGCATGGTTTAATTAGGATTTGTCTGTGCATTTTTTTTTTACTCACATAGATTTTGTTACCATTACCATGCATTATACGACTGATAGACTGCAACAATTGGAGTTAAAAATCATAATTTGTGTTCTACTGAAGAAACAAAGTCACCTACATCTTGGATGCCCTGGGGGTAAGCAGATAAACATAAAATTTTCATTTTTGGGTGAACTATCCCTTTAAGTTAGAGGCTGGTTCATGAATCTTTTCCACTAATTCATTAAAAAGAATCAATTCTTAAGAGTCACTCTTAGTGATTTGGACATCATGCTGCCTTTGATTATGTGTGCAGGAATCACTTGTAAACACCGTAATGATATTATATCTAACAAATATTAACTTATTTATTTTGAAATTCTTTGTCTTTGTTTTGAAATACTGTCTTAAAATAACTTTTACTTATTAATACAATACACAATACAAAGCACATAAACTACTTTTATTGGACTGTTGTGGAATAATAACAACATTTTGACCTGTGTATACTGTATTTCTAGGGACACTGCACTTACTTCTAGAAGCTTCTTCACATCCCACACACCGTCCTTTCTTCCTAATGGGCTGCCATCCATGTTGTAATGATTCTCTCCTTGGGCAACTTTTGTGGGCTCCTTGTTTATGATTATCTGTGGGATTTATATACAACTTAGACGGCAAGATAACACTCACAGATCAAAAACTTGGACTCACTGAACAATGAAATGAAGCTGAAAAAAAAAAAAACATTGAACACATGAACTCCACTGTAATGATGGAAAAAGCATGAAATAAATTTAGTCAAAGTGTCAGTTAGAGGAAAGCCACTTTTGAGAAAGTCCAACGTTGAGTTGCACCTGGAGTTTGTTACAAGCCATGTGATCAAATCTGGAAACTTTTGTGGTCTGTTGAAACTAACATTAAGCTCTTTGTATTAGAGTTGAGTCAGCAGCTATGATCTGTTTGACTTCAGAGTCATCTGTTCTACTAGTGATCAGGAGTGAAAAAAAGCAGGACTGTTTTGGGACATTTCTTTAAACCCATATGACTTTCTTCTGTGGAACACAAAAGGAGGTGTTTTGAATAATGTTCTAGTTGACTTTCCCATACAGTTAACATGAATGGACAATGGAGCTTTCAAGCTTTAAGGAGGATGCAAAAGCATCATAAAAGTGGTTCATATGACTTGTGTGATGTATTGCAACTCGTCTGAAGTCATGTTAGAGCTTTGTGTGAGGAACAGTAATCATACATTTACAAAGTTTTTCAGAATTCAAGCCATTATTCACTGATAACCATCAACGCTCATCATCAGTTAATGAGTTTTAATGAAGAACTGTATCACTGATTTTTCAATGAATAATTCAGAGCGCTTTAATGAGCTATTGCAGTGATCCATTCAAAAGACCCTATTTTACAAATCAGACATTATTACTTCTCTAATGAACATTTCATTGGTAGTTTGAAAGGATATCAAGTAGGGATGTAACAATATCAAAATCTCATGATATGATAATATCGCGATATGAAGTCCACGATACGATATTTATTGAGATATTTAAAAAATGACAAATGAAGAACTGGAAGAAAAATTTACATTTTGTACATTTTAAAGTTAAATTCTTCTGTATAATGCACTATGATAGTTCAAAATTAAGAGCTCCAACCCATGTTCTTAACTAAGAAAACTTAAGTTAAAAAAAAGTCAGTGAATTGACTTGTACCTGAATTATAAAGGGTACTCCACCCTCTTTTTATTTGTGATATATGGTCTCAGTCTAAATTACATTCACACTGATGTTTTAGGAAGCCAAACAAATTAGAATAATAATAATAGTAATAACAACAATGACAGTAATAGCCATATATTGTAAAACAATTGCACTGTAAAATAAATGAAAATGAAAATTTCATAAGTATATAATTTTTGCTTTACACTACAGTAGGGAAATTATAATACTTCTTTCCTAATTTCTACACTTGAAAGAGATATTTTGAATTTGGACTGCAATAACGTTACCCATTTAAACCGCTAGCTTTCAGCAATTCATACTGCACTTTTAAGCTTTTATTTGGATGGAAACTGCAGTAGAGCTTTTATTTTGAAGGAAAACTCCAGCTTCAGCAAAAACATGCTTACAAAAACGTGTCTCACTACAAATCTAGTAAAATGCTGTAACGATCTGCCACGAAAATAAAGCCTAACTGGTGGCTGTTGCGTTCCCAAACGCACACTAAACTCACAGCACATGCAATAAATGAGTTCACTGCATTCATTCACTGTGAAGGGAGCCGTTCTGAAGCACGGATAACATCGGATCAACAGCTGATCGCGTGAACGAAGTACTTTGAAACGTGCAGCGAAAACAGACTTCATGAAAGGATTAAGCCATATTGTGCTTTCAGTTTTAGCTCGTTTGACAGATACTGTAGCATAATTGCCCAAAACACAACTTTAAAGACATTGTTAAAATAAGAAGTTTAAATGTATTTTAAAAACTACACTTTTTGCCTGGAAGACCTATTGTTTCATATCGTCATGTGACCACGATAATATCGAGATAGTGTTGCTAATATTGATAATATCGTTAGATATTAAAGGGAACCTGTTTGGACATAAATGTGTGTTGGCAGTGTGTGTACACAACCACCCTATAATGATAAAAATCCACCCACTCCTTTTTTTTTAATCCCCATAAATAATAAGCAGTGTCTCCCAATGGCCTATTTTTAGCATTGGTGCTAATGTGACATCACATTAGCCACAGGCCCCACCCACGAATGTTGACAGACACTGCCGTTTTAACGTAGAACCGCCCTGAGCGAGTTCACAGCGAGTTGTACACAGTCCGCTATTACTGCACTGCCGAGAATGTCTCCCAAGCGTTTTAGGTGTTCTGTTGCTGGATGTATTAATCCACATAGCTCTCTCCATTTACTCCCGAAATCTGAGCCGCTGAATACGAGGTGGATTAAAAGGTGGATGATTAAAAACGAATCATTTTACACCGGACTGCTTTGTGAATGAGGGTCAGTATAAAGCAGGTTTTGCACAAAAGTTTCTCCTGAAAAATGGAGCAGTGCCAACTGTTCGTGATACAGCTAACGTTGCGCCATCTAGAAGAAGTAAGTATCACGCGTTTGTTTTCCAAATTGCCTTTCTGAAAGAGCTTCTTGGCACTCTGTAAGGCTAATGTTGCTAAAGCTACCATTGTCTGTCTGTTTTCACTGATGCTGCCTTCACGTGCTACCAGAATGATCGTGAATAGGAATGTGGTAGTTAAAAATTGCATATGAAAGCAATGTGAAATTAAGAATGAAATGCTTGAATTTGTCTAGCTCATAATCATATTCAGGACGTATCGATGGCACCATGAGACCAGCTATGTTGTTATTTTTATAGCGCCGTGCTCCCCGTCTGTGTAATTCATAAATAAGTGAACACCGCTACTAGCAGTTTCTGACATTTTCAGTGCGTGAGAGAGTGTTTTGTTATTGCTGGCATGCCGGTGCGCGAGCTCTAGAAACTCCACCCTCTTCTGAAAGGGGAGGCGGGAGCACCAGCTCATTTTCATTTAAAGGGACAAACACAAAAAACAGCACGTTTTGGCTCATACCCTAAAAATGGCAATTTCAACAAGCTATAAAAAATTATCTGTAGGGTATTTTGAGCTAAAACTTCACATACACACTCTGGGGACACCAGAGACTTATATCTTGTAAAAAGGGGCATAATAGGTCACCTTTAATAAAACCATTTTTAGCTGGTGAAAATACTCGAATGTTCGAATAATTTTGGCCACCAATGTAACTCTGGGGTAATAAAGCACTGCTAACACTGCTTCTAAAATACAGGTGTGAAAAGTACCATTACCCGGAGTTAAAAGCTGGATTTAGAATGACAATAATTCAGGGTTAAACACAGTGTGAAAACTCTTAGAAAAATAAAACTCATCTACTGAAATAAAAAAGCTAAATTATAATGAGAACAGAGAAGGATGATCCTGACCTGCTGAATCTGCACACCGTAGCCTTTAAAATCCTCATCCCAGGATGTGTTTCTGTATATATCATCCACTCGGTCTATCAACTCAATCTGAAAGACACAAAACACACAAATTCAATACATTTTTAATCTGATATCATGGTGTTTATATGCAACAAACTGCTCTGTTGTATACTACAAGTTCAGTGACGGCTCTCTTTTCCGGTTACCTTTAGTGCGTTTCATTTGCATTGCTCACCAAGTAGTTGAGGGTGGTGCTCTCCTCTCCACGGCCCATGTGCTTGTAGAAGCGATGATCTGCCACTAGCAGCAGCGGGCAGGTGTTCTTCTTGTGGTTGTGTGCAGATCTTCTCTCTATGTTGTGAGGTTCTGCATTCAATAAATAAAAGCATCGAAACATGCTGCACCATAAAATTAAAACGAATCCACCAAATAATTATTTCTAATTACTCAGTTCCAAAGCATCAACATCCATAAATGGATCTACACAATTTAAAGCAACATAATGGGGGACTTCCATGACTATGATAATGGAGCACAAAGAATGAAGTTACTGAATTTAATTATTATGCATTGTCTCCAGACTATGTTCAGTTCTCATAGCAGGAGGTCACTGCCGGGTGACTACATGCTTGAATGGGCGGCCTTTGTCAGACTGATGTATAACTCCTACACACACTCATGCAGTAACCATCTCGCTCATCATGAGCATGTGATGAAAGCTGAATATCTATTGTGTGTTTAGGCTGCTATTATAATTAAATGTCTGTCTCAAAATTACTGAAAAACAAAACGACCTTTAAAAGACAACATTTTACAATTAAACTAGATTCCATACAGTCTGAGAGTTCATTTGGTGGTTTAAAAAAATAAAATTATTTTACATATAACTGCAGGCCAGGGAATTCAAATAAATTCCTGTTCGTCAAATTTACAGTTAAAAATGGTCTTCTGCCACCTGAAAAAGTTTCAGAACCTCATAAAAAAGGAAATGGGGTTAATTTTGAGAACTTGTCTGATATCCAGTCTCCACTATTAAATGACCCAAAGTCCTCTGTGGCACCGTTCCATACATAGGTAAATACACACCCTCCTCCTGTTCCGTCTGTCCCGCTGCTCTTGCCTCTTCTGGCAGGAGCTCCTGAGCATCAGCGTTCACATATCCACACACTTTGGGTGAGGACAGTTGACTGATGTTCTTAATGTCCTCTGAACGGTACACCAGCAAACGGCCATCAGATGGCGACTCTGTAAACCGCCACAAGGGCTAAACGAAGACAAGATATACTGAAACATTCAGTAAAAATGCATACTGTGAAATTAATATTGAATGCTTTCAAGTATTAAGCATTTTGAACAAATTACCTCTACATTATATTCAGCTTCTTCAGTAAGAATGTGGGCTGAAAACTCCTCCCCGTCTATGTGCGCCTGCACACGCGAGTGCTCCTCTCCTGTTGAGATGGCAAACAACGATATGTCGATGTATGATAATATATAACAGATGGAAAAACAAGAAAATTCAGTTCTTAGCCAAGGCTGATGTTCTCATCCTACGTCTTACCCACTACGTGTCCTTTATAGTAGTTCTGTAACTGAATGTCAAATTGGTCCTCTTTTCCATTCTTGTCTAAGAATACAGCCTTGAAGTTGTCAGTGAAAAGGTCTGTGTTGGTTGTCAAGTACAGCTTGAAGTGCCTTTGAAAAGAGATTTTGAAAAGAGAATCCAAGATGTTTTTATTTCAGTGAAACTCAAAAGGAAGAACAAGCCTCTAATCGTGATCTTTTCAGGTCAGAGGTTTAGAGAAGAATAGCATAAACACTGTAACTCTCTAAAAAAAAAAAACCTGCAAAATGAATGAATGGATGGATGAATGAATAAATAAATAAAAAATACAGAAATAGTCACAAAGATATATATATATATATATAAAGATGTAGAATAAAATAAAAATAAGCCATAAATAAAAAATATATAATACATTAAACAAATAAATAAAGGTAAATATGCTGAAAAATAAATACATAATATAATTATTCTTATTATAGAAACCAGGGAGGTCAGAAAAGAATAACACTAACAAAAAAAATAGCAATTAATATAAAACAGAATAAAAAAAGATAAGAAATTATATATTATATTCTTTAGGGCTGATGCAATTCGTCTATGTTATTTGACTATTCGATTTTTAAAAATCCTTGACTTCATTTTGCTCGCGTCGACTAACCGGCAAAATACCGGAAGTGGATACCGCATTTCACAGACGAGAATGTATAAAACACATTATTAGTCTGTTTTCCAAGGCTGCATGATATATTAAACCCTTAATTATTAAACATAATTAAGCATAATTGTGAATTCACAAACGCTACAATTTAATTAAATAATTATATGCGATGCAGTTCTAATACAGTAGCCTATATGCGCTTTAATTATTTACATGCGTGTAGGTTAAGTACGTGCGTCACACAGTGATTCCACAGGAACTGTTATCATTCACGTGTGTAGAGCGGCTCAAACTCCATCTCTGCATGTTCTTGTGAGTTTGGGTTTATTATAACGTTCATCTGGGAACGCACCGTGCGCCATTTCATCAGATTTGTAAGGTAAATAATTTATAAATCTACGCAAACACATGAGAATATATCATTATCTTGCAGTTTCAAAATAAAAGCTCAAACCCTCACTCTAAGAGTTTACACGCTTTGATGTCCACATATTCATTTAATTACAGTGGCTATAGCATTTCTGTCCAAAAGAAATGGCCAAATATTAAAGATTAAGTGAACATTTGAATGAAATGATGCTTGGTCAGTATTAAACAAGGATTAAATTGCACAGTAATGTGTAAAAACAATCGTCAGGCCGTTGGCGCCCTCTGCAGGCCTTTGTTGTAATGCGTAATGTACATTAGCTCTATTGTTTATAATACATTATGTATTTTAACAATTTTGTTCAATAAAACCATGATTTCTTGCTTTTGATACTTTATTTGAACTAATTATTATTGCCTCATTGCTATTATATATGTCTTTTAAGTAATTTTAAAGGCTATTGTTCACTTGCATCTACTTTTATTACCACAAAAAAATTTATTATAATTATAGGGCACTATGAAATACGTTTTTATTTCCAAATTCAGTTTTTTCCATTTTTCTATACTCTGTTTTAATGGTTAAAGTAAATTTTATTAATCAAAAAGCCTGTCTAATTAATTTAGTTTTACAGTTTTATCTTAACCAAATTCTGTTTTCCGTTATTTTCTGGATTCCATTTTAATGGTTCCATTA